ATTTACCATAATTTTGTGGAGATTTGTATGCACGCATTTACATACAAAAATTCACCGTGAATCTACAGTCTTAGCAACAATGAAGAAAATCCTTACGTGCTGAGTTCCCAATTGATTGGAAACACGAAAAGTTATTCAGCCAGCCTTCTAGTTAGCTAACAGCTTCAAAATAGTTCGAAGTCATTGGAATACTAAGCCCTACCCGAATCTCCTTTTCTTGCTGTGTCGTGAGGTGTCATAGGCGTCACAAGTCCTGTTTTTTTAATGACATTAATAAAACATGTATTCATTCTTTAGGAAAATGCGGAATCGCTTTTTGAGAAAAAAAAAATAATTGCAGACGAGAAAGATGAACTTAAAATGCTGTCGAAAAATTTTGCTGAAGTCTTTCGAACGTGAAATTCTCGAGATCGATATCTCATCATTTACTCAGGCCCCAATATAAACCATTCTCGCCTTGAGGTTCCAATACGTCAGCTCTTTTAACGCCCAACACAGCCCTTTTCTAGCGGAATACTGGCTCTTCTTCCGCAAAAATACAATGCCTTACAGACTAACGAATGATGCAAGGTTTATGTTGCCCTTCTAAGCATTCTGAAATGTCGGACACCCAGGACTGGGCAACGATAAAATGATTGAAAATGTCACTGCGTTCGTTCAGAAATTTCCGATTCCAACAGCGAATGGTATGGTTTCATGGTTGTTTAGTGGTATCAAGAGGCGATAACACCCATAGGGATACCACGTGTCGAAGTCGAGTGTTCCTTAGTTTTAGGGTTGACCTACTCCTCTTAAAGCTAAATATTTTATTATTATTTTTTTTTAGCATATCCTTGTAACTTATTGTCTAGTTCCTTAAGTCAACATTGCCCCCCTTCTTGCTTGTCCATAAAAGCATCTAGTTTCTTCTTAGAAATAGTCACGGAAGGGGCAGCCACTACGTCGTCGTCTAACGCATTCCACGCATTTACCACTCTACAAGTAATAAAGTCCTGTCTTAACCTGAGCCGCACCTGCGGTTTACGCAACTTGAGTTGATTACCTCTTCCCCCCCCCCCTTCTTTCTTGTCATAAAAGCATCTAGTTTCTTCTTTAAAATATTGACGGAAGGGGCAGCCACTACGTCGTCGTCTAACGCATTCCACACATTTACCACTCTACAAGTAAAAAGTCCTGTCTTAACCTGAGCCGCACCTGTGGTTTCCGCAACTTGAGTTGATTACCTCTCGTTCTCTTGCTGCCATCGAACTGGAAGAACCTACCACACTCGACATTTCTATTCCTTTAATTATCTTGAAAACCTGGATGAGATCACCCCTCCTTAACCTTCTCTCGAGCGAGTACAGTCCTAACATTTCTAAACGCTTCTCGTACGGAAGTCCCCTAATCTCCTTTATCGTTCTTGTGGCCCTCCTCTGTACCCCTTCGAGCGCCAGCAATTCACCCTTACTTGTAGGCTCCAAAACTGGATGCAATATTCCAACTGGGGTCTTACCAGTGCCGCATACAACTGAAGAATAACGCGTGAGTTCCTACTTGCAACCGAACGACGAATGAAACCTAGCACCCTGTTACATTTGGTCACTGTCGCTTGCGCGTGTAAGGAAAACTTGAGGTCTTCGTCGACAGAAACTCCTAGATCTTACTCTCCGTTTGCCTGCCCCAATTTATCATCGCCGAACACGTCGAGAGACCTACCGTTATTTCGACCGATGTGGAGAACTTTACATTTACTTTAATTAAATCTCATGAGCCATTTCTTGCTCCACTCATCCAAAAGACTCAAAATCTCGTTCGGCTCTAGCCCTATCAGCCTGCCTTCTTGTAGAAAAGCCTATTTTGGTGTCGTCGGCAAATTTACTTATCTTACCCTCTACGCCTAAATCCAAATCGTTTTTGTAGGCCAGAAACAGAAGTGGTTCCAGGACCGAGCCATGAGGGACCCCGCTTGCGACACCGACTTCGGTCGACGCTTCCCCATTTACTCGTTGCTCTCTTCCTGTCAACTAGCTACTGATCCACTTGTCCTACCCTGGATCCCGTGCGCCTCTAGTTTAACCCGCAACCTCTTGTGAGGAACGGTATCGAAAGCTTTCGCGAAATTTAAATAGACGATGTCCACTGGATTCCCCTTATCCCTCTCTTCCGTCGTCGAATCGTAGAATTCGAGCAAGTTGGTGAGACAATTTCGACGCCTCCTAAAGCCGTGCTGAAAGTCCCGTATGAGCGCGTTTCCTTCGAGGAAATCCAAAATGTGGTCCCTTAGGATGCTTTCCATGATCTTCCCCGGGATACTCGTGAGACTTACCGGCCTATAATTCCCCGGATTACTCTTTTCACCATTCTTAAAGATCGGTACGACGTTCGCTAGCCTCCAGTCCTTAGGTACTTCACCGCTGCTTTCAAAAATTATTCTTAGCGGAACCGATATTTCACTCGCAAGTTCCTTGATGACTCTCGCAGGAATCCCGTCAGGGCCGGTCGCTTTGCCCACCTTTAACTTCCCTATCATATTCACGATCGTCTCCTCGGTGATGGAATTATCTGCAAAATATCTGCAATCCGAAGTCACCTCCTCCAAAGTCGGTTCCGAGTCGGATTCCACAGTGAAAACGGAAGCGAAGAACTCGTTAAGAATCCAGGCCATTCTTCAATCTTCATTACTTGCAATCGATTCCCCCCTGCCGTTCATTAGGGAGTAAGTTCATTAGAAGTCGAAGGTAAAGGCAAATAAGGAGGAAAGTCACGCAATTATGACTAAGAAAATTATAATGATCTGTCGCGTGGATTTAAAGGAATATAAATATCTTTCAAGTATCACGTTGAATAATAACGTGAAGTAGACATAAAACAAGCAATCAAAGAGAAACGCGGCCAATTTCCATCCCGAAAGAGTTTTTTCCTTCAAAAATAATTATTTGTCTCACTCGGTGAAGTTGATAGAGCTGAATTTTTGCTTGCAGAGAAGTTTGTCCCGAATTTCCAACTTTTCCCCGGAGACAAAACCCACCAAGGAAAGTAAAATTCCCTTGAGCGCCAGCCCCCGCTTCATCTTGACGCGTACGAGAACGTGACTGCACTGCGGCGTAGCCAGGTCGTCAAATCGACCTTTATCGATGACGATGACGACGTGAAACCACCTTCGTGAGTCCATCTTCTCTTCATTCATATTTTGTGGTGAGCTATGAATGCCTGAGTTTTTCATGGGTAAATCTCGTCTGCGTGCCTCCCTCAATCTTGTATAATGAATCAATTATAGGATGACTTTATAAATAATAAAAAATAAAAACAAGAGAGAACAGCTTTCCAAGGGCATTTCTCCGAGACTAACCTACACAGAATATTTACGGAAATTTTGCGAAGGAACCGGCAACTCTGTCTGCGTTTAATGACATGTAATTTGTAATTTTTAAAAAATCTGTTGATACGTGTCCAATGCTACTGCCAATTGCGCATGAGATGCATCAGTGAGTCCATCAGTCGAATAATCATGGTGACCGTAATGAGATACCGTGGACCGTAATGAGATATTTCTGAAAATCAGTAGTTCCGAGGGAATAAATTCAATAATCCTTTCAGGCCCGGCGGGACTCAGGAGTCCCGCACTTTTTCCTACATTTTGTAGGGTTTTATAGAAATGCATGATCTCGTGGCCTTTTTGGAATTTGCATTTTTCTATTCAATGACGTTTCATTGAGGAAGGTTGAATGAGAAAAATGTTTTTCACATTTTTTGTCGTTTTGAATTCGGGTCTTGAAGGGCTAAATTTATCGGGGGCCAGCTGGTCAGTGTCATCAGCAATCGTGTCATCGGCACCATAATCCTAATTTGTATGAAGGATTTTGATCATAGCCAAATCTTCAGTTGAGAAATCAAGCATGCATACCAGCACTACACAAACACAGCACAAACACGCAACAGAAAAGTCAGCTTCGAGCAATTCGCTCAATTACACTGCTGACGTCAATCAGGGGGAAAATTAAATAGAAATGAATTCAATCTGTCGGCCGTCTCCAGGGGGGGGGGGGGCACCGTCTCAGTCGTGCTCATCCAACGGACGTGGCATCGCGTGCGCCGTTGGCAGTGACTTGTGACTCCAGCAACAGATTTCAATGGGTCAGAAAGATTTTTCGATTTTCTCTTATAGTTTTTATATGTATTAGTTAGCTTTCCTCGGAGAAATCTCCTTCGTAGAGGGATTCTTTTTTCGTTTCCTATTTCATTTGGTGCTTCTCCATCCATGAAAGCAATCTTTTCTATTAATCACGAGGTTGGGAAGAAAATTGCATATTTTCGAGTACCCAGCCGTAGGCGTGAAAAGGATGGAATGCTGTATGAAGGAAGTATCTGTGAATATAAATATTTCTCTGAGTCAAGGGAGGAGTGATTTGAGAAATCAATGGAAGGGGAAAAAAAAAAACATTGACGCAGCAGGGAAGGATTTGAAAGGAGGATGATAGAGGAAAATGAAACTTCTCACAGAGAAGTAATTACTGAAAGCATGAAGCAGGTTAAGTAATAATAACAATTAAAAGAAAAGCTAAATTCAATATTTCGAGAAATCAACGGTAAGAAAAAAGTTAATAATTGAAAGGGAACAACAAAAATGAGATCTCGGAATGGCCACGACATCCCTAATCTCTCAAGCCTTGCAATGCTATTCGCAGTTCAGCGACGCAATAGTGAACACGCAGACAGCACAAGTTAATGACCTCATACATAAATGGAAGTGCCACTGAGATCCAAGCGCAAGGTTGCAAGAAAGAGGGAACTTTTTTCCCCAGGGGGATTTGAAACATGAATTCAACTGTTCCGCCTACAGAGGCTGCAATTACTGAAAGACGAAAAGAGCCATTCGTGAATTTTCCTGACGATTTCTTGCATTTATGAGAGTAGCGGGCGGAATGAGTAAAGGAAACCGCTCGCTCTATTTCCTCCCCCTTCATTCATTCAAATGATCATAATCGATCCAATCCACATTCATGGCATGGCTTCGAGGATGGATAAGAAAAAGAGGATGGGTAAAAAAACGCAAGAAGCACAAAGGGCACGATCGAACCATGTTGTTCAAGCTACGGATCGCGAAGGTCATTGAGTAAGGGCAAACACTTCTGTCCGATGAGAACACCGTTAGGAAAACACAGCCAAGGATCGCCTGTGTCTCTCTGCCAGGCCAGGAGATCCCTTTCCAGGTCTTTCCGCACCGCCTTCATCAATAGATGACATCAAAGCATGCCATGTGAATTAGCCAAAAAAATTGATACGCCCGCGGAGGTAAATAGACTCACGTCTCTCCAGGGAGGAGGGATTTCAATCTCGGAATGGTTCTTGATGGCAAATACTTCCCATTCCTCTCGATAATAGTATTTCTGGAGGCTTTTCCTCCAGTTCAACGGTTTTCCATCTCCGGTTCGATTCAGCATATCCTGCCGGTCAAACAGGAAGAGGATTTATCAAGTTGCTCTAAATATTCATGGAGAGGGGAGCATGGATTGAATTCCCATTCTGAACCTGGAACGTGGGAGAGACATAGAAATCCTGGTCGATCGGGAAGGGAATCCTGGGGATCAAGTTGTGAATGAGTTTTAAGTTGCTTTTCCGGATCCCCCTCATCGGGTACGTCATCGTCACCTCGTGAAACGAATGGCTCATCCTCACCACATTCCCAACTACAGGAGGTAAGAAAAGCCCAGGGCGAGAAGCCACATGTGAGTCATAGGTAAATATACAGGGTGATGCAAAAGTCCTGACCCATAAGTGTCTTATAATCAGTTTTGTTCTCTAGCAGGTTGTATCAATAGCACATAATGGCTGAAGGAGAAAGTTATACGACTCAGGATATAACAGAAATGGTTCAAACTGGTGGCCACCAGTGAGGGCCACCATTAGCTTCCGTGAAAGACATTTCTATGGGTCAGAACTTTTGCACCACCATTTATAAGAACTGGGAATCTGCTTGCTTAAAATTTTTGTGTGGTTGGAATGCCTTTAAGAAATATCCTGCACTTCCAATTCGCCGGATTTTCGGATTGGTCATGAGGTTGAAAGTTTGAAAGTATTCATGATATTCCGAGCGCCGACACTTTCGAAATCACAGTAAAGAAAGACAACCAGCAAGACACGTGATTTTCTCGTAGTTGGAAATATCAGGAAAGCGCCCATGTGCAGGATTACCCCTCCATGCAATAGAAGCTCTCGATGAGAGCAAAACAAGAGGAAGAAAATGGGAATACGACGAAGGTCGATTGCCAGGAGGGTTCCCCAAGGCATGCGAGAAGCGAGAAATCGAACACCATCTAGAAGTCTGGAGTGCTGAGGAAACAGCGAGAAAGTCAAAGAACAAGTATTAAAAATCTCAAGGTCTCGGACGAAATGGAACATCTTAGGGATTATTACTACTTCCTCACACTCGCATTTGCCCACTTCGCATTTTCGTCGCATTTCAACACTTCCTCAAGGAGTGCGGCAACGCAGTCGTTGATTTTCCAGTCGTTCTCAGATCACCACTCCCTAATCTCGCCGACTCGCGTGGTTTCGAACTGTCGCCGTCGAGATTCGTAAATGCGTTTTACCCGACAAGCCATCGAGAAGACTTCAGGAAATGGTTTCTTTTTCATTATTTTCCCTTCGTTGACTTTTTCTCAATTCTAGGCTTAAATGATGACCCTATTTTGTTTCTCCCCTGAAGGCATCCTTAAGAATATCAAATCCCAAAACTGCCAGTCGACTTCTTTTTTTTTCAATTTTTAATTCCTTTTAAAAAGCCTATTTCGGCTAATTGGTTGTTTCTTTTCCGTTCTCTTTTAACCTGCAGATTTTATACAGGCTCTTTTTTCTCGAATTTGACGGATTTCTGCACAGTCGATATTTTCTGATGTACTTGTGACATCTATGAGGAAGAATAGCACCCCAGTTTCCGATTTTACTCAAAAGACAGTACGCAACGGACATTTCTCATGAAGCCACGAAGTGAAATAGCTCCAGATGCTAGGTCAGCATTCGATTTCAAGAGAAGTTCTTGATGCTGTAGCATCTTCCTCCGGTTTTTTTTTCTCACTGGGGTCTCACCGTGTAAATGCTGAGTTTCTTGTGGGGAAACGAGAATGATCCTGTGTGGGGCTTCGCATTTCCCCACTTACTGTTTGGGGGCTGGTGATGAACTGAGCAGGTGAAAAAATGCGAAAGGGCCAATCTGGATCCCATTGCGAACGAGGCAGTACCTGTACTTTGTTATTTCTTTCGCATTTCGGCAGATGTATCTGCTGTCTTTATCGTACGACATCTACTCTTCGATTTAGAAATCACGTCTTCCAGTGTTGCCGCTCTCCGTCGCAGTGGGGAAGTGCTAATGCCTCAGGTCAAGTGGCAAAATGCGAATGTGGGCAAAAGCGAAGCACCCCGCGACTTCCTGCCATGCAACAGGAAGATAACTTTAACCCATATTTAACCCAAAACCCAACGTTAACCCTTGGCACATCCGAAGGAGATTCTCCTGTCTCGGTCCATCCACTTCTCCAAGGAACACTCAAAGCGAACCCTCACTCGTTCTTTCAACTTCCTTCAAATTTGCCAGGTGAAGAATTTTAATGCGGTAGGCAAAAATGGGCAACGAACTGTCTTCCCACCAGCCCCATTATTCAGGCGAGGAAAAGCATTGAGGCAAATGATACGGATCCATTGGTATTAAAATGCATAGAATCGATGGAAATGGAATGAAAATGGAAATGGGTCGGAAGGCGGATAAGTATCAGGAGTGAAAGAAAAAAGGAAGAGTTGAGGGGTTTTGTCTTTTTCGCTTATCTTTATAATAAAAACAACACTTCCTTCTCGATATTTCTTCTGCATTCCTCCTTGGAATTCCTTGGCGTAATGTTCGTGTCTCTACCAGCATCATTCTTCTTCTACTAATTGTTCATTGTCTTTATGTTCATTAAGATTAATTCGAATTTGATGATATAGCCTCATATTGAATTTGGGAGAAGAAACTAATTGCTTCTCTCTCCCTGGACAAGGAAGGTCTGAAAGAGATTTACCCTTGCAGTCGGTTGGAACCCATTATTTTTCTACGAAGGTCTTGTACGAGATTCGACAGCGGACTCCCGATGAGTCTAGATGGACCAGGGAAAACGTTCCTATTCGCGAGTCTTACATTAGCTGGTAAAATAAAGACAATTTCCTGATAGCGTCGCATTTTGCTCCTTATCATAAGGGAAACAACAAATCCTTCCATCTCGCAAGCGCAACAAAGCCGGAAGAAATGGTGCTCTAGAAAAATCAATAGAGCAGAGGGGAAATGTGTAGTCTGCAGATGACGTTGCAATATGACCTGTCCCGAAGTTGATTGGAGCATACGGTTCTTTTTCTTCCCGTTGACGCAAAAAGCCTTCGGGAGAAGAACCACCCGAGGTAACGCCAAGATGGGATTCCTATCAGGTTTGGGGCAAGTTAATGGTTCTGGAAATCAAAGGAGTGGAGGGGGCACGTTCGTGATAGGAATGAATCCGAATGATCATCAATGTAGGAGATATATCTCCCTGGCCTGGAGGAGGAGGGGCGATTGTATAGGTCTACGCACGTATTAGCCTTCGTGGCTGAGCTCCTTTAATAGAACAGCCGAGAGACCAGAGGTGATAGGAAAAGACGGCTGCTCGTCCACTGGCTCCAGTCTTCTTTGCATTACTCTGCTCATAAAATTCTTGGTTTACCGATGCACAATGAAGATGATTCTTGACTGTAGGTCCCTTATTAAAATTTCGCTGGTCCGTGATGGGATTACGGTTGAAAACCGCTGCTCAACGATAGAATCTTCCCTCGTAAATAATTTCGTTCAAGAAGCTGAATGAAAATAATTGCGCGGGGAAGGGGGGGGGGGTAAGACTATTGAACTTTTGCAATTATTTTGCACCTAAATAATCAACGTTTTTCGATTGTTCGATACCACCAAGTGTATCAGATATTAAGTATAAGTAGCATTGGTATCCTCGTCCTAGTTACTACAATAAAATCCAGTTTCCTCTGAAATAGGCATAATCTGGCAGGTGATTTGTCTTAAATATACGACTAAAACTTAACTGAAACCTGCTTAAGAACACTATAACCTCCGCGGAAATTCTAAGTGCAGAGTGAACATAGGAAACCTATATCCAATGCCCGATATACCTCATAAAGCAATTAATTTAAACGTGATAGATGAATACTGGATAATTAGGAACGAGGTGCTAAGGGCGTTTCACACTTGGCGTGTCTTACGTCCCTTGCGTTGGTGCTCGGACAGGAAGGCAGACGCACGCATGCACACGCATGTCCACTTACATCCAAGGGATTTCATAAAACGCAAGGCTTGCGTGTGGAATTGGGATCGGTTCAATTCGGGACTTCCGCACGCATACTTATGAGGGAAAAGTTTCACGCGAGGAAGTTGGAGGAAATAGTCGTCACATCTATGTAACAAGAGGTACTGGCGCTCTTGCAGTGCCGATGGAGACGCAATTACGAACGCATAACACGCAAGCATGAACATGTTGAACTCCTTGCATGTATTGCTATGTCGCACGCGTCACACGCAAGAGACGCAAAGTGTGAAACGGCCATAAAGTTCAGGGTCAGAATTAGATTGGTTCGAAAAGAAGTTGCAGTGACGTGCGTCGCAATACGCTGCCAGGTCCAAAAATTCCATGCACAAATGAGCGACGGATTGAGTACGCGAAATACCTGCTGAGATCGACTGAGATGAATCTCGCGTCGAACAATCGAACGAGGTCTGCGAACAGACGAGTCCTGATTTTCTCGTCGTGACGTCGTGAATGACAACCAGTACAATAAGTTGAAGGCCTCGAGGAAAGCTGACGAGTCACACTTTGATATATATTGCATTATAACCCCCGACAATATGTTTCTCCTGCCATCATTCACGAGCATCTAATAAAAAATATATAATAAAAAATCTGTGCAGAGACATCTGAGGATGGCCTCAACCCTTGGCAAATTCGGTCAATTTCCCTTTTCTCGAAAAAATGTTGGCTGCTTGCCACTGCGATTCCCGCCCAGATCTTCCATTTAGTACAATGAATGAATGTTTTTTAAATTTTTTTCCCGGCCTGCGTGCCAGGCGGTTTCATGGATTACCATATTGAATACGCGAAGTGAGAAAAAAAGGATCACCTTCCCCCAAATGATTGCCCCAAAGATCGCTACAGCTAGATTTTTTTTCGTAATCACGACGCTGTATACTTTTAAACGATACCAGAAAAGAGTAAGAGTGAAGAAGAAGGAAGGAGTAAGTGCCTTCATCAAAGCAGTATCACGGAAACATATCAAGGGTCTTCAGGCATGAAGGATTTTTTTTTCCCCCCCCCCCCCTTTCTTGCGTGTCTGAGAACGAAGACTTCATTCAACCCCATAAACTCCCTTTCCTCGAAGGGATATAAAAAAAACTAACCCATCTAGCTCGACGTGAAATATACGAGAGAATGAGGGTTGGGGCCCACAGCAGGGACGGATCCGCCAGCTCTCATAAGACCAATCTTAATCATGACGGAATTGAGAGCTCAGCCTTCCCCAAGTCCATGATGAGACTCGGTTATATGGGCTGGGGGGAAGATTTGGTTAGGCCGTATGTTATGTCCGTCTTTTGCCTGTCTTCCGGGTCTGGGGGAAATGAGGAAAAAAGAAGACACCCAGAGAGGGACAGAGTGAGAGAGAGGGGGGGGGGGACACAGAGAGAGAGAGAGAGAGGGGGGGGGAAAGGGGATGATGTGATTTGGCAGAAGGCCAAAGAAAGTCAGTCTGTGCATCCCGCCATTCCGCTTCTCCCTAGGCAGCAAGAAGCACAGGACCACACTCAGGACCCGTATCCCCGAGGGGAGTACTCGTTTTTTTATTTTTTATATTTCCAGTGTATTGCGAAAGGCCCATACGCATTTCCATCGATAAATAATCTCGGCAGGGAGCGAGGAAGAAAGGGCGAAGAAAATTCTCATCAAATTGTAATATTCACAATAATGAAACCCCTTCCCCATCGAAGGCGTGTTCGATGAATACGAGACGTGATGATTTGGGACGCATTTTCTCTTCTCTGCCGCTGAATATTTTTCCCAGCATGGTTTCGCACGCGTTATTCATTTCCCTTCTCGAGTATTTCCCTATGGGGTTGCCTCAGAAGTCTTTCAGAGAGCGCCAGAATTGCATCCAGTCACGTAAAATCCGGTAGCGAATGAATCATTAGCGAAATGGTCACACCGCGTGTTGCAAACAATTATTACGTGGTTTTAGGATGGCCTTCGACTAATAGTTTCCCACAGCATCAGGCATGATGAAGATTTCATCAAACTGGAAGCAATATCGAACAATTGACAGATAGTACCCTCCGTCACAACTCGGTGTAGCATGGCACAAGTCACGTTTTGCACATGGTAGCGCGATTTTCATGCAAGGACTGCTTTTTCAGAGTTATAAATAAAAAAGCTATTTTAATCACACTCAATAATAAATTAAGAAAAAAAAGGTTAAAGAGAATGTTACCACGTAAATTCCACATTAATTATACGTATTTAAATAGAGATAACGCTCGCATCCTCCTAATATTTTCAATAAAATCCTATCGGCATTTGAGACCCACGATGTCTGCACAAAATGTCTTAACCCGGCAATTTCGATTTCTTCCCCAGATGCGAATGAAAGCAAATTGAAAGAAAAAGTTCATCTTCGACTTCCAGTTCCTCCTGGCACCAAGGTTGTTTTCAACTCTCGATATGGCTCGTTCGTCAAACACCGCGTCTACGACCTCGAGGTTACACAATTAATCGTGCAGCCTGGATTAATTCCTTACTAGCTTCATAATGCGCAAAGCCGGCTTACTCGTGGGAGACAATCGTGATAGCTTTAAAATTCTTCTCATCTTCCAACTTTTAAACCCAAAAGTTGGAAAATGAGAAGAGCTTTAAAGCTCTCATGATTTGTTAACGCGATGACTTATTTTCGGGATTACGATAGTGAAGTACTCGGTGCTTTCCACTGGTTTAGCGAAATTCGGATCACCTGGTTCACGTCACAGCATCAGCCGTTGCAAGGGGAATGATTTCCTGGGGATTTAGTCTTCCACGAGAGTTTGCCCAAGAATCTCAAGATGGAATCTGATTTCGCGGCACGTGATCGTTTCTGAGAATTCCATGTTCCCTGACCGGCGATTCGTGAAGCCGAGCGACAGACCATTAATCCTTTCCTCTGCGTTTTCGAATCTCATCCGGACGCCGTTCTCCCCGGGGCCGAAAATTGCAATCCCTCAACGAGGACACGTGCACTAATTTATTCCATCAACTCTCGGAAAATTCTCGAGCAATCGACCCGAGTAAAATATGCAAATACAAAATGACCTCCTCCATAACAAAGGATTCATGCAATGCATCGTTACGTAGCAGAGTCGAGACCCGAGAGGATTCTCTTCTCCTCTCTCCATTGTGTGGGTGGGAGAGCAAGTTTCCTGGTCCTCCATATTTCACGACGGCCCCCTTTTGTTCGTGATCCGTGGAGCGAGTCGAGAATTGCAGGCTTTTCTTCGATCCCTCTTAGGCCAGACGAATTATTCTTCTCTCGTGAATTCTAGACTTTTTTTTTTTAGAAAGGGCCGTGGAGTGAAGGGGTAACTTCCGTTAATCTTTACTGCAAGGGGCATGCATTTGCGAGCAAACAATGGGATAGAAGTTCGGAACTCCGAGACATAAATTTTATTCTTTTCGATCCTGTGTTAGCTAACTAGCTGAGCCAGGCTCCAGAACCGACATACAAAGATACCGATGACACGCCGTGGCATGTGCGCTAAATTAACACGATCGAGCTTCTCTGAGTCTTGAGAAATCAGTGTCGATCCAAAGTAGTTCGGGGGTGTTATGTCGCTCTTGAACTGATCAAAAAGCCACCGCAAGCCTTCGTTTCCCGATTTTTATCCTCATTTCTACCCTTAAATTACAGCAACCTACATATTCTGCTTCTAATATTTTCCGCAGAAGCATACGTAAGACCTACAACCCGCTCTGACGGGTCGAGGGGCTTGCAACTCTATCGACGTGTCTGAGAGAAATCTGACCCTCGGAGGCTTCCGAGCGATCGTGAACACATAATAGGAACCTAGGAACAGAGCATCGTATTTTCACAAGGAAAACCCATTAAGGCAAGGTCTTGGGAAGCAATTATTGCAGTCTGAGGGGGCGTGGATCGTGTGTCTCATGAAAGACTCCAGAAATTCCTTAACCCAACCCATTCATTGATTCCATTGCGACGGAGAGCGCATGTCCCATGGAATCGAGGAGATTCCATCATCTTCCTTCGTGCTCATCAGCTCCAGTCCTTTCCTTTCCTCGTAGCCGAAATGTGATTGCCTCCTCCACAGGATGAATGGGACAGAGGTCCTTTCCAACATCACCGAGGAAGGGAACGTGACCTTCCCCACATTCCAGTCCCGTGATGTCCGGCCCGGTGAGCAGGTTCTTCCTTTTCAAATCCGACCTTCGTCTTTCGTATTAATTCCTGAGTGAAACTCTATTAGATCGAGGAGGGGGAGCAGGGTTTCTGGACGAGCCACATGTGATATTTCTGGCGTGCATCGCCATTCTCGCTCCACTACTCTGTGCCACCGGCGGCGTCCTCCTGCTCAGGTAAGCGAGCCACACAACGATGCATGCAACTTCAGAGAATCCGGGTGGGTGAGGACCGTCACGTGAATCCCATGAAAATTGCATAGATTCTATTAGAAAGTTATGTGCAAGCAGGCCGACTCCCCTCTAAAAGTTCGAAAATCATTATGACAATAGAATTTCTCGGCCATGTCACCCCCAAGGAGGGTTGCTATAGTTTATAACCAGAATGGATCCTCTAATTTGGATTCCTCCTCATGGAACTGAAGAGAACGCTGTGAAACTTCCTGAAGAATCCTATGACCTAAACCACACAGCACTGTAATGGCTAATGGCTTCCAAGCTCCTGCTTGAAATCTAATTTTTAACGCGCGCTTTGGAAAACATCACGAGGAACACATTTTAGTGTCCCAATAATAAAAGGTAGTCCAATCATGAAATGCAGTTACGGTCTCAGGCTTTCCTGACACAATGAAGCATCTGCATTATAACTTGTCTGAAGTGGAAAGTTTTTTTCCTAATAATAATATTTAAAAAAATAGGCGCCGGATAATCATTATAACACACTAAAGTGTGCATCGCCGTATCCTATATAACCCCCATAGTCATCACTCGGTTCATGTTAACCCAGAAGCTCCAAAATTGGAGCAATACCTTCCTTCCCTAGAGTCAGTGAGTTCACTCAGTGATATAAAAAATGGTGCTGCACTTTCAGTTATTAAAGTGCATGTTTGTGGATCCTAATCTGCTTGTTCTAACTTCTATACGTGCGTCCCCCAACAGAACAAGCCTAGAGAAATCGATTTGAAGAAATGAGAGGCCAATGAATTCGTCACTTTCCACGGCATGATTCCTGCTCGCCAAGTACTGAGCTCCCAATACTGCAAAACTGAGAAATATATATATATATTTTTTTTTTTTTTTCATGAAGTACAGAACCAATAATCCGAGAAAGTAAAGCGCGTTAAGATGTGAGAAAACGGAAAGATGGAATCGTCTTAGACGATTTTCAGATAAATGGCTTCATATTTCATGCTGAGAAGTATCTTCGTACAGCTAAGAGCATAAGCCCTGTTATTATAGCAAATGAGTTGATATTAAAGCTAGGAATAGACGGCCTCGCTTGATTCCACAGCACTTCCCTAACACTTACTTTTCGGACAATTCGCATGCTCAACGAAAATCATAATGATGTTGGCTCTGCAATAACTAGGGGGGGGGGGGGAAGTAAGGTTTCTGCTGTATCGGCAATTGAATTTTTCCCCCTGGAATCCTAATTATAACTTCTCATGGAACACAACATTCTATGAGCCCGATGCTGACTCAACATATTGGATTTTACGATGCATGACCTCGCTCAGGTGCGAGATCAGGACCTCAGATAGAGCTCGTGCGATGCGATAATAAATGCGGAAGCTATGAGGTCTGCTTCCTTCTCTTGATGTCACGCAGAACACCCCACTTCGACGGACCGGTGAATGAGTGCATTCAGAGTCACGGAAAGGAGATAAAGCTCCCATAAAGACAGCACCTCCCTGGAGTTGCATATCGAAAACAGATCGAGGGGGAAGAAGCTCGGAAAAGCAGGTTCCATCGATTGCTAGGAAGGATAGCTTTCTCCTCTTTCGATCATCTCCTTAGGGATCTCGGGGGAAGGCTCTATAAAAGCAGGCATAGCATACCCATAGCATGAAAGGCTCCATGGATAATCCAGCTGGTCGAGTTCGACAGACATCCAAGAACGATCGATCCCTTCTAGATAAGTACATACTTAAGTTTCCTTCTTTGCAGGGTTTCGTTTCTTCATTTTCCCTTTTCGGAGATGGATGGAAAGTGTAGATTGGGAGGGTCTTAAGATAAGACTTTCCCCTTCTTGATCAATCTCGGTTCCTTGATTGAGGATCGAGGCCTTGGGAGTCTCTGCATAGTGACCTCGACCGTGACGACAGCGGGGAAAAAAATGGTCGATCAATGAGATACAGAGGCAGCCGTCCAAAAAATTTCAGCCGATTTTATTGCTCCTTCTTCATCTTCTCTTCCGGGGTAAATAAAAGGGGACGAGGGAGATATAAAGTGGAAGAGCTCCTTCTTCCGTATCTATCACTCTCTTCCCATCTTCCTCTCTTTTTCTCTCATGCTTGGGGGAAGATTCTCTATCATCCCGCCTGTGATCCTCAACTTGTCTCAGAGCTTATGAGCTCGAGGGAATAGAGAAAAGATTTATTTTTAATCCACAACTTTGGGAGAGAACCTTGCTTCGTGAATATTCTACGAGGTATTCGCCTTCAACGACGTCAAAAGGATTGAAGCTTAAGCACAACCAACAAATATTCCGGCGCTACCTTGATTGGCTGTATTTTTAAATTATAAAGTTATCTAATATTTAGAAACAAAGGCGCTAACCACGCACTTGAGTTGACTCACATCGCGTAATATTCCTTGTAAAGTATGTGCACATGGCATTTTTTCATAACATTGTAATTTTTTTTAAATATATACCTATAATGCGCTTCCTGTACATAATACTGTAGTTCTCACTGTATCAAATCGCGCAGAAACTAGAAAACTCCAGCATAATCCAAAGATATCGCACTCGTCGTTTTCATTTTCAATACAGGAAACGTGAGAAACATCGACCAACAGCAAGGAACTAATACAGGCTGCGAGGGTACAAATCCATGTTTCTGCCATAGTGCTTTAGTACCTGAGGAGCCTCCACACCCTGACGCACAGATGAGACCCCAGGCGTCGGGGCGCATATGGGCATGGGAAATTGAAAGGACCCTCCTATTCCAATTTCCCTTGTCCATGTGTTGAAAATGCCCTCCGTCTTCCAGCATGGCCTTTTTTTCTTTCTCGTCATCGTTCGGCTCAATATTCTACTATCCTCTTATCACTCTCCAGAAGTCTCTCCAGATAGATTGCGAAGTGAAGTGCGCTCACTGTTTTGAGACATCCTGTTCTGAAGAACCCTTCACCCAGATTCATCGTACAATCTGTTGACTCTTTTCTCCTGCATCCCCATACTTCTTCCACACCGCTTCATCATCACAGAAAAAATTAATTTGAGACTTTCATCCTTAATTACGAAAAGTATTCGTATCAATTTGTACGGCAGGAAGCGGTCTCGGGGTGAAGTGTATTCACAGCTCTAGGCTTCGAGCTCCCGTTTTATCTGATCTGCAGTCATCTTTAACCCTGGGCGGAGAGGCGGAAAGCGGCAAATTAAGTGCCTGACTGACAAGATGGCTCCAGTCAATCACAGAAAGGTGGCTTTCTACTCATGTGCTATATCAATATCCAAAGCAAGTTGACCATGCAATTTGAACCTGCATAAAAATCACAGAGAAAGTGGAACTCATAACAACCACATGTTAAATTACATGTTAATTTGCGCCGTTTGAGTGCAAATAACCTAAGCAAGGAACTGTCGTTCTAAAGAGACATTCGAAAAATTTGCATAATGTGCAATCATCAGCATCATTATCGAGATTACTGGCCCTGACGCAGGGAAAACCAACAATAAAGGGAATTTCCCCGTCTCCTTCCTCTTATTGACAGTCATTTCTCTCTCGCATTTGATACGAGTGGGTGCTCTTTTCATGATACCTTTTGGCTCTTATCCGGTCTATTTCCCTCGCGATTAGCAAGCACTTTTACAGCCTAGTTTAACGGCTATCTGCAGCAGCCGTACCAGAATACCAAGTTTCTCGACTATCCGGCAATCCAACTGGGCGAGTACCGGAAGCTCGTTACGGAGAAGGCTGCAAGAAAGAGAAAAAGAGAATTACAGCATCTAGACAGTCAAGATGCTGCTGGAAATTGGCATCGGCTCAAAGATGTCGGTAGTTGTTCTAGCAACTGCAAGAACTAAATACGCAAAATCCAAGTCAATACTATCATCCATGTCATGACGTAAAATTACATGAAACATCCGAACGAGTTTTTCCACCTATTTACTCTGCCCCCAGATTAAGCTAACTGAACAGACGAGTTAAATGCGATCCAGATCGGGGAATGTTCCTCGTACCCACACCCACACGTTTCCCAAACTTTCGATACAATGCTCACAAAGTCAAGGGCGACGAGCAATACCATTCCCAAAGAAAAATATGGGTTCGCCTCGGAAAGGGAAATGGTCGACAGAAAGCAGGATATCTATTCCTGGATTGCGTAAATAATGGACTCTTCCTTGAATTATTTCCCATAAGATTGGCATGACTCGTTCCCTATCTCATATGAAAACATCAATCACCTCCCTCTCGAAGCTCGAAGCAAACGACAGTACGGCAATCTATGGATGATTCATACCCCACAGTTACCCTTTCAATCTCTATTTCCCAAGACACCCGAAGAGTTAATATTTGCTAGTAAATCTCTAGCAAAAATACATGTGAACGAGGACAGGATGTGGGATGAAAATCGGGTCGTCATTCACAGAAGTCCGACGTGCCCTTTCTCAGGATACGTCATTTGCAACAGATGAAATGAAAAATTCGCCTTGACTCGCATAAATGACGAACGCACAGGGTAAAATAAAAATAATGCAAAAAGCGCTCCAGTCACTCAAGAAATGCCTGCAGCTTACTTCTGAGCAGCAAATAATCAGACAAGATCCCAATCCAATCCCCAGCAACAGAAGTTACATAGTTAATTTGTAGATGCAGTCAGCGCATACGACAAACAGCTATTTAATACTTTCCAATACCAGCAACTCCATCGATTTTTCTCTCTGGGTAAATGTTGAAACAAAGTGAACCAAAACACCAAAGAACGTATCAAGAGTCATAGGCAATCATAATACCAGACAATAACATTTTTCATCTTCTTCCCGTTGAAAGAACTTTCAATCGACCTCGATGGCGCGTCTGTGTGTTTCTATAAAGGCGGCTGTGGGTGAAGCTATCAGAGGACGAGCGACGACGGCGCTTACGGCGGCGATGGGGGAAAGGGAGAGAATCGGGTGATATGAGTTGTACGACCCAGACGACCCTGTTTAACCTGAAACCTCATTCTCGTGCCTCTTGCCATCATCCCATTCTCAGAGATCCATCTTCCGATAGCCGGGTATGCTCGAAGCAACTTCTCCGTTTTACGTCTATTCCTGTGTCGGTTGATGAAAACCAACAACGAAGAAAAAAACCAGGATTTGAAGGAAAACATCCATCTACGGGTAAAAATAAGAAACATGCTTTCGACGTTACGTACATTTTCCCCCGTTATTTTCCAGAAACAACCAACACGATAAGATCGGCTGCCTATCGTCGTCATTCCTCCCATTTCATGCAAGCATGTATGTGTTGGTCAGATGATCCTGCTGGACTGCAAGGGGGCTAAGAGCGACGGCGAAGGAGGCTCGGGCCTCCTGGGCTTCCCCAGCGTCCATAGCATCACTGTTCTCATGGAGGACTCCCGACTCGTCGTCGAAATCGAGGAACAACAACAGCAACAGGTGCCTAATTCCTTCCCTCTCCCGTCCCGTGCGCAAAAAGATCCTTATATATTAGATGAACATGATTTATCGTTGCGCACTTAACATGGAGCGGCGACAGAAGGTTATTTTCCAGATCTCTATCCAGACTGCGGTCGTGCAACCGGCGCTGTTTTTGGTCGATTGATTATGGCAGCGTTTATGGTAGGCATTATTTAGGTATCCAGCAGAGCTATCCGCCTGCTCAGCTATAAAACTGTGTAAACAAATACGGCAATGTCATAAAGCCCGTGAGGACGTGGGCCCATCTTCCTCGGAGGAGAATGTTATTGGATCCTTGATTTAGTAGACGGTATTAGAGAAGGAAGTGCAGTTCACACAATGACAGATTTCGAAAAGCGGAGATGACCGTCCTTCACCTCCACTTCGCGAGTCGAGAGGTTCACCGGGACGAGAGGTCTGGGAGGCCTAGCCTCATGACGTCATGAGGCTACTCATGACGTCAGAACAACCGGATGTTTTCGCGTTCCCTCCTAATGGCAGGATGTTGGCCTTCCAAGACTTGACGCGAAAATGGCCTTGAGGTCGCTGCATGGATTCAATGCTATGCAAATTATCCAGTTACACAGTCTGCGAGGTAGCGATGGGCCAAGGGGCACATAGTACTTAACTAACCTAATATATTAACACTTCTCTGCGTCATCCGAAAAGTCTAGAAAAGCCATGAGCGCGGAGCTGTAAGAGACAAATAGGTGGTACAAAACGTGGGCCCCTCAACAAGTGCATGATCCGATTAGCACAAACAGCGTACATGGGCATACAGGGTAGATGTGCGCAGTGAACCACTTTACACCAACGCGTCAGCTTTCCATCGTCTGAGTTCAAAAAAGCATGCCAAAGAAGGAAACGAACGTTTATTCGACTACTCTAAATCGGGATGCGAGGTACCGTCCACGATACGATCAACTTCACTCAAGCGCTTCTTCCGTTCGCGTCTGGACAATCAGAACCCAAAGAAATAAAGGAATTGACATTGGCTCACTTCGTCGCACTGCCGTACTCGTGTCGGATGCGCTCAAATTGCCCCCAGGAATCGGTGCGTTTACATCTATGATTTCGACGCAAGAACGTTTTCCTAAACGTCAAAGTTCCTTTATCGTAAAGGTGTCTGTTCTTGTTTTCACGCAGACGATCCGTATCTTGAAACACTTCCAGGCATACTTTTTTCTCCAAAGCATTCCTTCTGTGGTCTCCATGAACGGCTCTTTGCAATTGCAAAATAATGAAGCCTTTGGTGGAGTATCTCGGGAACAAACTTTCCATCTTCTAACCATTCCAATACACCCCCATCAATTTTCAGTATCGATAAACCGATATCTTCAACCCATTAATATCAATCCCTGTCTTCACGTTTTTATTCGATGCGTCTTCGAAGGAACCAGAGGTAGAGGAGGAGAAGGAGGAGGAGAAACGGAAGGAGGAGAAGGAGGAGGAGAAACGGAAGAAGGAGAAGGAGGTCATGATGAAGCAAGTGGAGGAGCACGAGGAGGAGTGCAAAGGACCTGGATTGAGTCAATCGGACGGGAGCCTCCATTATGACGAGAATCCCACCTATAGATACGGGAATCAGATCGAATACCTGGGTGGCTCCTTCGGTTACCCCTGTGATACCAGTTATCATCATCAAAGATTCACCAAGGCAAGGGCGATGTCGCTGCCCTACCATTCGCGGACTCTCTATTCTTCTTCGTGAATCATTCGTGCAATCAAAATGACTACGTTGTATTCAATGGAGTTGCCTTTCGCCTACTACCGCACTCATTTCATTTATTCATAAGATGAACTTTTCACAAAATAGCATGAGGTGAGACATGAGATATTACATACACATAACGATAAAATTCCAGATTGCTTACTTTGGATTGTGGGTAGAGGCACATTGCCTTAATCAGAGTTTCATAGCAGCCAGTCCCGTTTGCCGATCGATGCCCAATAAACTGAGAGATTAAAAAAATAAAAGTATTTCGTTTTTAGAGCAAATAATAACTATCGATTTCCTTGCGTCCTGCCTACAATTGCCCCATTGTACGCAGCGCCCCCCTTCCCCTTAGTCCTTCTTTGTTCACACTCTCCCTTCCCCCTCACGTGAAATGACGTCCCTGCTGAGGGAGGGAGGGAGGGGGATAAGGTAAAATGAGTCCTAAGAGAACATTCCCCTCCGCTCGTCAAGCCCGCTCTTAAGCACTTTTTCTTCCTTTGTTAGACCCTTATCGTCTCACATATCCCCACTTTAAAATTTTCTGGTTTTGCTCCATATTACCTCAATTCATATTTTAGAGGGTGGGGATGGATGCAAGAGGCTGAGGAGGGGAGAGAAAGAGCATGCTTCACATCAGTCGGCCTGTAACTCTTTGGTGCAATTGAACTGTTCCTTAATGACTAAGTCTGAAAACTACTGGCTACTGGCTTACATGAAGTAACCTGTCTGTCTATTTTGAATAAAGGAAGGAAAATTTAAGAACTTTTAAGTTTTACGGTTTCTAATTTCCCCTCGCCGCGTAACTTTCCCCCTCTTTTTCTCGTGAGATTATTATACATTCCGAGAGTTATTCTGGATAGCATCCAAGCCTATTCACTACCATTTTCGAGTACAACAAAATATAAACATCTCAAGCAAAGGTTACTTTTCTCGCTTGTTCGACCAGATGATAGAAATGCAGCGCACCATTCCAAAACGCAAAAGACGCGAAAAAATGTGGGAATTGGGGCATTGGGAACCCGCTCAAAACGATTCCTCAGAGCGCGGAACGAGTGGAAGCGACTGGTCGGCAAGACATCGAACTTCGTGAAGAATGAGAGTATGCAGATTGAGACGGTGCATCCAATTGGGAAGTTCTTGAGGTGGAATGAGAGTGTGCTGGCACACACCGAACCGATCTCTCCCGCATCAGATGTTGGGACGAAAGACTGGAAATGGGAAATTGGATGGGCGGGATATTATACAGGAGTTTAGCCTCATTAGCATAATGAAGAAATTGGATGGGCATAAAAAGAAGCTACATCGTGTCCTGGTTTTTCGTACTATCACCATGCCGCACTCGCGACGAAGAAATAAGACATTTCGAACCAAATTGATTTCCTTATTCGAAACCAATATCAGAACAAACATTCCAGAGAAGAGAAGGAAGAATAAAATAAAACTGGGAACGCCGCGTCACCTCCTACATTCCTTTCCGACCGCCCAGAGAATGTATCCATGGAGGAAAGAGCCACGAGAGAAGCAATAAGGCAGGATGGAGCGACTGTAGCAAACTTGATCGATACCGACTGCATAATCTTGCTAAGTACCTCCTCGTTAAGTACCTAATCCGCTCCCTACCAAACGAAGCAAACCCGGCCACACCTGCAGGACTCTAGGACGGATGAGAAGAAGCGATCGCTTCGTCAGACGTCCCACCTCTTTAGAATCCCCTCCCTTGGCATCCCCTTGGCACATACGTCTCCCCTGCAGCACGAGGAAAGGAACTGGAAGAGGAAGATCCCCTCATGAAATATTCAATGGAGACGAAGAGAAATGGAATGGACGGAATGGTCTTTCTCTCCCAATCTCCCTCTTTTTCGATATTCCTGCCATGGAATCCATTTTCAAGCCTTTCACAAATTTCCATCAGCGCTAGTGTCTTAGTGGCTGCTTGACCTGCTTTGTGATGCTACTCTGTCGTGACTCCACCGTGTAAGCCTCTACATATGATCTCAGTCACGCAACCTGAGTCATTTTGGAACGTCATTTATTCAGGGAGAAATCGATACCTGGCAACTACGACGTAATAGAATCGACGGATGACAAATACCTTGTGTGTCTCGGATGTCACTTCTCCTTTGAAAGACAGTGCATCAAAACGCACTTAGTAAATTGGATAATTGTGGACTTTGATGACCCACCTCGAATTCCTCCCTTCGAAGCATCTTCAAAGGCTAAGCATTGATAAGCATTGGCACAGGAGGACAAGGGTCCCCCTCCCACCCAGTCTTCCATCGATCACAGTGGCTAGAATTCCTCCAGTGTAGTCATGCATTCAAACTGAATCAGAGATAAGAATAAAAAGAGAGAGCTAGCTTTTCAACGATGTGCCACTTGAATTCACCATGGCACGGAATCCCAAAGAAAGATGGGAAAGAGAGGACTATTGCCGTCACTCCAGTAGCACGCAGGAGCGCTCAGTTTCATTCCGAAAAAGTGTATGATGCTTCCCACCGGTTCTATGAAATTCGCGAACGCAGGTTGTTCGCGATATATTTTTCCTTACATTCTCGCGAAATATCAAACAAATGATGTCAGACTTTTCGATATCCCTCTGCTCTTCCATTACGGCTAGTATTCACTGACCGACATTAAGCGCTAATTTGGCATTATTATGCTTATTTCCAAGGAACATGAAAGCGAAAGTAAAGGTCGCCACATTCACAAGCAAAAATTAGCTGTACCGCAGGATGAGCATAATATTTCCGAATTATGATTTTAATGCCAGCAGTTCCCCACTTCAAAGGAATAGAGGAGCTTCAACCTTTGTTAATTCCCAATTTAACTGCTTACCAATTAGACTAATGTTCGTTTGCAAATATTTAACCTATAGCATTTCCCCGCCCCCCAATTCAGCTATCACTATACCTTCCTTCATTTTCGTCATCTCCGATTCCCAGTCGCGATGAACTACATGATTGATTGCCCGACTCAGCAGGCGACAAAAAATGGTTCTTTCGACACATGTAAATCATTCATACTCGATGTCCTTGAATATCATGAGAGCATGTTTGTTGGAAGGAAAACCCTTCTGGCCAACTGCAAAAAAAATTTAGATGCAGGTATTTACTCGGAAGTTATTTGGTCAAACCAGTGTTCGGATTTATGGGATGGGTTTTTCTCTTAAACGAGACAACTAATTTCTCTTAACACTATTTATCCCCCCGTGGTTTATGCGAGGCAATAACACCAAAGGATGAACCTTGGAACTATTCTCACAGGCGAAGATTACTTCTCTCCTGGAGAAAAATTTCCTCCATTAACGTCTTCCACTTCTTATCCTACTGGGGTTTAACACTAGCGCATCACCTTATCTTCATGCGGAGAAAAAGACCAGCGTTTTCTCAGCTTCTTGCTGGATGGTTGTGCTCGTGCTCCCGATTCTGACTGATTGCATCCAAAGGGCTCAATGGCACAACACACTTCTGGCGTTAGTGCGGAACAGTTATGGATTTATTCATGATATAAAAAGTAGAAGTAATAAAACCTTCTTTTCAATTGCTTTTCCCTCTTTTTTTCACCTGCTCTCGTACTGATAGAATGTGAATAATCGTTTTAATATTCTCAATGAATGACCTAAAATCATGAGAACAAAATTTAATTGCGAAGCCGACCAAGGTTGGAACTTGCTAGGTCTAAGCCCAGCTCACAGACTGTCTAGAGGTGCGGTTTAACGTTAGGTAGACCTTTTTTTCGGTCAAAATGAGTCGCAGCCCTCGAGTTATGAGGCATTTAGGCCTACGACTGGTCAATCTCGAGCTTTTCGAACCGTCTCGACGATGACACGCAGACTGCTTTCGAAGTCCAAAATGAACGTTGGAAGCCATCAGTCAGGTACGTCCATGAACTGTACAACCACAATGGGACGCATTGATTAGCCACAACTAGCCACTGCTTCAGCCTCATCTCATCCAACGGCCAAACAAAGAAGCGTATATTATGAACTGAAGATTCAAGCACCCACATAAAAAATTTAAAAGCAAGATCACTCTCCGAATCCGGCAAGACTACAGCATGATATCCGGCAGCCGAGGCGACGGGGGCTGGAGTCCGCACAAAAAAATCGCAATAACCCAGCGGCTAATTTCATTTTCCAGGACGAAATGGTACATCGTCAACAACGTAAAGGGCACGTTTCTTGCTCTAAAAATCCATGTCTTTCTTCTCGGGTATCTTCTCCGAAAACTCCCAAGGAATGGCTGCTCGGGCCGGGAGAGAAAATATGCAGGAAATTAAATTCTCATCGGCTAAAACCAAAACCCTGTTTTCTCCATACTCCGGAGAAGAGGGAACTTCGGTTCTACTGGAGTGAGTCTATTTCCAGGGGGTATGAAGCTGTTCGATATATGAGGGTACCTTCAAATGCTCTGAGAGGAACACGAGAAGGTGGATTTTTAATTCGTGAAAGGGTTGAAGAAAGGGAATAGGTGCTACTGGCTCATTGATAGGAATAATATGCGGAATAATAGTGCATGTAAAATGAAAAGCCAAGGACGTAGACAGTCAACATATCGGTACATTCAGCATTGATTCAGTTTTAAAATATTGGTTTCCAAGTCAAGTCAAACGTGACAAGCAAATTCAATTTCGACGCTGCCCAGCTAAGAAGAGACAAGAAGTGACATAAGGAAAATGAGACAAGGCCTGTTGGACGCTCAACAAGAAAGACGATCGTATCAGACAGAAAGAAATGAAATGCGACAAGGACACGTCAGGCCATGCCACTTCGTCTGCTTTCTCGTCGCATTTCCTCAGTTCCAAGGTCATTCTCGCTCTGCAACAACCGGCGGTATAGCATCACTCATTGATGTGAGCATTGGAAAAGTCTGCCACACCGATGAGTCGATGACTCTGGAAAGCGTCAGGTAGTCTCCTGGGCAATATCGAATTCATTCGCATTCCTCTATCTTCCTCCTTTGCAGTGCTTTTAACAAGCAAATAAAAATTGAATG